ACCCTTGGTACTTGTTGTTGTTTAGTTATTTAGTCGTGTCCGACTCTTCGTGACCCCATGGACCAGAGCATGCCAGGCACTTCTGTCTTCCACTGCCTCCCGCAGTTTGGTCAAACTCATGCTGGTAGCTTCGAGAACACTGTCCAACCATTTCGTCCTCTGTCATCCCCTTCTCCTTGTGCTCTCCATCTTTCCCAACATCAGGGTCTTTTCCAGGGAGTCTTCTCTTCTCATGAGGTGGCCAAAGTATTGGAGTCTCAGCTTCAGGATCTGTCCTTCCAGTGAGCACTCAGGGCTGATTTCCTTCAGAATGGATAGGTTCTTGCAGTCTTCTTGCAGTCCATGGGACTCTCAAGAGGTCTCTCCCCCTTTATGGATCACTGCCTTGCCATGGCGAAGGGGCTTGAATAACTCAGAGAAGCTATGAATTATGCCGAGCAGGGCACCCAAGATGAACAGGTCATAGTGGAGAGTTTTGACCAAATGTGATCTACCTGGAGGAGGAACCAGCAAGCCACTCCAGTATCCCTGCCAAGAAAACTGCATGGACCCTTGCTACTAGGGGTCCTTTAACTGGAAACTGAACCTGGGATCTTAGCACCCTTAGTGATGATGTATAATGGGAGAGAAGGAGGGGTGGAGGCTCACTCGGAGCAACACCATTATTCCAAGAGGCCACATTCCCAAGCCTCTCTCTGTGAATATTGAATAAAAATGGATGGTAAGATTTTTCTTGTCCATTCCGGGCAACCTGCCATGTGGGTTGGTTTCTCTGCTGCCTGACACTGTGGCCCTTTGGGTGTTGCTGAATTTCAGCCCCAGACAGCATGGTCGATGTTCAGGATGATGAGAGTTGGAGTTCAACAGCATCTGGAAGTCCATTGGTTCTCCATCTCTCTTGTACGACATCCTTTGTGCACATCAGAGATTCTTCAAATGTCATAGTACACTTCAGACATTGGTTCTTTAGGTCGGAAGGCATCGTGATAGACATTCACCTCCAGCTGGAGTCAAAAGTCCATTTTGAGTCCCCCCACCCCACCCCGGCAGGAAATACATATCTATATCTCAAAGGATCCATTGTCCCACATCTTATAAAGGTATCAGCAGTTCCTGTAAAATATGTATCTGCAAGTGTTAAGATTCTGTGTATTAAGCGACGCATGGTATTTTGAGCAGAATTTGAGACAGGATATAGGGAGAAAGGGCTCACATAGTAGGACTCTAGACGGATCTGAGTTGAGAGGATGGTTAATCACTATGCAACACTAAGCACCATGCTAAGACCCTTATGCCAGCTTCTGTAGATCATTGCTTCAAGTCCATTGTTCATAGCATTGGGCCATGAAGCATATTCTAAGAATAAGGCACAGTGCCAAACATTTTGAATCAAAACAAGCAGATATTTTCACTGTGAAGTGTAATCAAACATATATTACAAGCATCTTCTGCTGATGTGCCAAGGACCACAAATGACTCTCCTTTAATTCTGCTTTGAGATGTTCTATTTATTCTAATGCCGTGCAAGAATTCTTACCAAGTAACAAAGGATGCTTTGCATTTTGAGACTCAAATGTCATCTAGAAGACCAGCAGTTTAAATATGGATGCCTTTAACAGCAAATGACAATGGTGTACATTAGGATTATCTTGAAGGGAAATAACAGATTTTTTTTTTTAGAATAGCAAGCCACAACAAGTCCAGTTACTGCTGCCTGGGGCCATTGCATATTATTAAATGGTAAGAAATGTAAATCCTTTTGCCATTTATAAAAGGCAAACCTGGAAAGCAACCCAGAGTCTTCATGTGTTGTAAAGAGAATACACACTACAGCCAACGTTTACATAACTGCGCAATTGGGAAGCAGATGCTGTAGGAAGTGAAATGAGATAATTCATGTTTTATTGAGGTTATGGGACAGCAAGGCAAAGGAAGCTCATATCACTTAAAACTATGCTAAATAAGGGGCTGTGGAAAGAGTTTGAGTTAGAAGGAGCAGTTTATAATGCAGCATCCTTTGGTAGCTACTGTGGTTAAGCCTTGTGGGAGCTGCTAGTTATGGAAAATTTTCTCTTCTGGCTTCCTGCCCTGGACTCTTTTAATTTTCCCTGCATCTCATCCCATACTGGCTGTTCCAAGTGCCCCTGCTAGAGAAGGCTTGTGGCCATGTTGAAATGACTAATTTATTTTCCCCAAAGAAAGAACATAACATTCACAATGTCTACAGCCTCACATTCCTGGCATTGGGCAATTGGGACAGATTAGGGATTCTGCTGGTTTGCTGTCCGCCTCGCTGCCTAGTATTCTTCCTGCTTGAGCTGACAGAGCTGGTCTCAGAGGCAGTGTTGAGGCCTCCCAGATTGCTGGTTTGGGGGCACTTCAATATTCATGCTGAGGCAACTGTCTCTGGGGTAGAAGAAGAAGAGTTTGGATTTGATATCCCGCTTTATCACTACCCGAAGGAGTCTCAAAGCGTCTAACATTCTCCTTTCCCTTCCTCCCCAACAACAAACACTCTGTGAGGTGAGTGGGGCTGAGAGACTTCAAAGAAGTGTGACTAGCCCAAGGTCACCCAGCAGCTGCATGTGGAGGAGCGAGGAAGCAAACCTGGTTCACCAGATTACGAGTCTACCGCTCCTAACCACTACACCACACTGGCTCAGGACTTCATGGCTGCCATGACAACCACGGGGCTGTCCCAACTTGTCACTGGCCCAGTGCATGAGGCAGGACACACTCTGGACTTTGCTTTATCAACTAGGCAGGAAGAGGTGGTTCTGAAAATGGGGGGTATTGACATCAGTCCCTTGTCATGGTCAGATCACTTCCTGCTGAGATTGAGGCTTTCAGAGCTTAATTAACAATGAATCACAAAATCTGGGATCCCCACGAAATGGGTGTCAAAGTTTTGCAATCGTTTTGCAGAGTTTTGCAGCAAACCCCCCACGTTTTGCAGCAACACACAAACGGAGTAATTGATACATCAAAATGTAGCTAATGCCTCCAAACCCAAGGTTGTCCAATTTACTCCATACTGGCGCCAAAGTTTTGCAAAAGTTTTGCAGTGTTTTGCAGAAAAAAACCCCGTATTTTGCAGTGCCCCACAAATGGAGCAATTGTTGGAAAACAAGCCTCTTCGGGAGTGACTGGCATCTCTCCCAGGCTCCCGGCTTGTTTACCGTTGACCTCCCTGGCTGCAATCCCCGCAAGTCCAGGATAGGTCTCAATAGGCGACATCACCCAGCGTGGGAAAATGCACACCCCCTCCCTCCTTGCTTCCCTAGCAGGGAAAGGAGATAGCCAGAAATCTATTTGCATCCTTTTATTTCTGACTTTGCAGCACTATATAAAACATGTCCAATCAGTTCAGACTTCAGCAAGCAAGTGACAAAGACTTCCTTTACAAACGCAACAGGAAGGTCTCAAATTACACACTGGACACAGACTCCCAAAGCCTGTGAACTTCTGGGAATTTACTTTGCCACAGCTAGCCATATCACATGATGTCAACAAGCTGGCTGTCTGCAGCTGCGATGTTCTCATATTGTAACAGCAATACCCACTCAAACCCAGGTTTGAATAAACTTTGGCACCATTTTCGAGAGGATCCCAGATTTTGGGGTTCGTAGTTAATGAAGCCAACTTTCAGCACCTTTCCCCCTCTATAGAGGTGTGGGACTTCTGAGGATGGTCTGCCCTTGGAGGCTGATGGATCCAATGGGTTTCAAATGGCTCTGGGGATTTTCTGGCTGATAGACTGGCCTGTTGAAGCCCTGATCAACTTCTGCGAATTCTGAATAACTTGGGTTACTGACATGATTGCCCCTGAGCACCCTTTCCCACTTCATGGTGCCTGTTTGGCTCCCTGGTATACTCCAAAGCTTAGGGCAAGGAAACAAACAGCTTGAATGTGAGTAGATGAAAACTCCAGTCAAATGCAACTGAACAGTGGTTCATTACTGAACCTACCTAGCAGCAGTAAAGGCAGCAAAGAAGGCATACTTTGTGGCCTCTATTGCATTCTCATTGTGCCATCCCGCAGAGCTTTTCCAGGTGGGGCCTTTTACAGTCTGGCCTGAAGGAGGTTGACAGAACTGATAGCTGGCTGTGACTTGTTTGCAAAGCACTTTGTGGATAATATCACCCGCAGCTGCTGGGACCTTGACTCCACTGTTACAGCAGATGGATCTCAGGAGGGGTCCAGAGCAGTCATGTTGTGTTGAATGAGTTTCAGTTGATAAGACTCAAGGATGTATAAAAATGTGGACATTTGGAATTTGGTTATGTCACTCCATAGAACAGGATACTTCTTCATTCTTCTTTCTTACATCCAGTATCTTGCAGTAGCAGCTGACAGGGAGATGGTGGGACTCACCTAATGTCACTGGTGCCCACCAGGTTGGGGAGGGTGAGGGGCAAGGCAATGGGGAGGTCAACACGGTGCAAATGCACCAGCTAAGCCAGATCAATGCTGCTGCTGGTGTGTTTGCAACTGGCCTTCCTATTGCCTTGCTGCAGTAAGCAGCAATGACAGCTGTTGAGAGTTGAGGTGAGTGCTGCTATCCCATTGCACCATTCACTACTGATTGTCAATGTGCCCTGATAGCACTGTGGTCATAGTAATAATGGCATGACCTCACAAACATACATCTAACTCAGTATTGTCTATTCTGACCAGCATTAACTTTCCAAGGTCTGCTATCATCCAGGCCTGCTATTTTGTTACAAGTGTATACCTGGACTGTACAATCTGACATCCTTTTGTCTGGACACACACTAGGAACCGGTCCTGATAATTTCTGACTGAAAAGAACATGCTCCACAAACATAGAAAGCTGCCTTATGCTGAGTGAGACCTTTGGTTCATCTTGCTCAGTACTGAGACCTTTGGTTCATCTTGCTCAGTACTGAGACCTTTGGTCCATCTTGCTCAGTACTGTCTACACTGACCAGAAGCAGCTCTCCAAGTTTTCAGATGGAGAGCCTCTCCCAGTCCTACTCTGAGATGCCAGGAATTGAACATGAAACCTTCTTCATGCAAGGCAGATGTTCTACCACTGAGCTATGGTCCTGTCCCTAAGAAACATAATCCTAGGACCCCCAGGTGATGGTACTTCCCTTTGTTGGTGGTCTTACCTCTGAGCTGTAGCTCTTCCCAGATACTGGCTCATAAATTAGATCTGCCTGGTCCTGCCTATTGAGAACTAATGAGTTTACCAAAGGGTTTCTTAATTAAATCACTGTTTTTGGTTTTAATTTTTTCCTGTTCCAAGTAGCTACTGCACCTGAGAAGCTTTATTTTGGGCTGATTCAGTTCCAGGTCCCTTGTCGGTGTCTGAGGAAAGATGAAACCCAGCTAAATAAATTATTTAAATGACGTTAAGGAGCAATAAATCTGATTGCTCTTGGCAGAAGTATGATACAAAGATGGCATTTAGATGAGCTCTGGGAGGGGGGGAAATGTGTATACGAAGATGAAAAGATGCTAAGCACCGTGCCCTGTGGGAATCTTCACAGAGCTATTCACAACGCGAAAGTCCAATCTGATTAGAACTTCGAAGCGCGATTGGCAATCAGGGACTGTGTCTTTGGCAAACCAGCACTTCTGGGCTCCTTTGGAAAAATTGTGTGATGTGCTCGCCTTTTACCCTTTAAGCTCTTGAAGGAAAGCCAGCTGGAAGCCTCTTTAAAATACAGAAACAAGGCAGATAGAGGCTTAGCGGTTGTGTTTGCAGCCCACATTCACGGCTGGTGCATGATTAAGTATCAACAAGCTTCAGCGTTAGGATCTGATGTTAGATAAGCACTCCAGAAATTAGTCATTTCCCACCCTGAACTCGGAACTTCTACAGTGATGGATCATAATCACAAAGAGCTTGACATTCTAGCATGATTTAGCATCTCCTATCTCAGAAGGTTTCACCTCTTAAAGAAAGGTCAAAGTAGAAGAAATGTCATTGTGCAATTAGCAGAAGTGTGGAAGATTTTTAAATAGTCAATATAGGTGTTGGCGAGGAAGTGGGGCTCATCGTAATTGGGACCCCAGAATGGGGAGGGAGGGGCTTTAATCCTTTCGTCTGCACTTGCTTTTTGCATTAGAAATAAACTTTCACTTGCACCGCCAAAAGCAAGTGTGGGGATCCCTATGTCAGGGAGCCAACAGGGAGAGCAGGTTGTTCACAGGTCAGAGAGACACAGAGACAGAGAGACACAGAGAGAGAGAGACTTGGCCTACCTACCGTTAGTTTCTTTATTAAGGAAACAGAACATAGAACACACAGAGACTTCTAATGGTTGCTCGTGTCTTAATAAAGCAGTTGTCCGGACTGGTTTGTAGCTCTCCCTTCACTCCCTAGCCCTGGGTGTCAGGACCCTTCCTCTGTGTTCTTCTGCTGTGGTGTACTCTGAAGGACCCTCTCTGTGTCTGCCTGGCTCTCGGCTCAGTAACATGCAAAAAAATGCCTCATTCTGGGAGTGCAGGAGGCTGCAAGCTGTCAGAGTGGCTCTGTGGGAGAAGTCTGATTCCTGTTTCTGCCTCTTTGCTGTCCCTCAGGCTCCCAGCCTCCAGTACTTTCCAGCTCATTCCCGCATCTGGGGTGTGGCCGGTTTCCCACCACCAGGATCCAGGATCCAAATCCTCTTCCTCCATGCTTTCCCAGGGGGTGGTGGTCTTGGTCAGGGAGATTCCACCACTCCTCCTCATCCAGCCAGTCCTTGACACTCGATCAATATCAGGACTACAGCAGGAGCAAGCGGTCAAGCCCAATTTTCTCTGCTAGAGTTCCAGTCTGGATTGGAAACCCTGGTTCTAAAACAACAACAGCAGCAGCAACAACAACAACAACAACAACAACAACAACAACAATAATGCATTTCTTTATTTATACCCCATCCATTTGGCCAGGCCCCACCCCAGTCACTCTGAGCAGCTCCCAACAGTATATTAAAAACACGATAAAACATCAGACATTAAAAACTTCCCTAAACAGGGTTGCCTTCAGATGTCTTCTAAAAGTCAGATAGTCATTTATTTCCTTGACATCTGATGTGAGGGCGTTCCACAGGGTGGGCGGCACTACCTAGAAGGCCCTCTGCCTGGTTCTCTGTAACCTCACTTCTCACAGGAAGGGAACTGCCAGAAGGCCCTTGGAGCTGGACCTCAGTGTCTGGGCTGAATGATGGAGGTGGAGACACTCCTTCAGTTATAGTGGGCTGAGGCTGTTTAGGGCTTTAAAGATGTGTTTCATCAAAGGTGACTCTAAGAAAGTATTTTATGACAACTAGCACATCGCTTCACATCCATTGTTCAAGAGTCCCTTTATAACTCCTTACACTAATAATATGAGCACATGCTGCACAGAGCTTTCCAGATGTTTCATGTTGTTAACACACTTTTTAGATATGCATCATTTCGTGAAACATTAATTCAGTTTTACTAGCAAACTGGAGGTTAAACTAACCCCTTTCCAACCCCGTGAGAAGCAAGGGAAGTGTTCTTGCGACAAACCTACACACTGCAGCCGACACACGAATGTGTTGCAACACACAGTTTGGAAAGCTCTGCTGTGGAGCGTAGTCATACCAAATAACTCACATCAGACTGGTCCAATGCGTGGCCCTCAGGGCCTTTTTGGTGGCCCTCGGCTACATCTGACATCCACCCATCCCTCATGCTGCTTTCCCAGAGCTGGGTAAGTGGAGTGTACGGCTTTGGGAAGGAGGTGTGAAGGCTCTGACAAGGTCCTAGAGTCCTCCTGCTTCCTCCCAAAGCCTAGCTAGTGCTTTTCCAACTTTGGGAAGAAGCTGGAAGGGCTCTAGGACCCTGCCAGAGCCTCACACCTTCTTCCCAAAGCTTGGTGCCTTGCTTGGGAATGTAGCTTGAGGGCTGGGGGTGTGTGGAATCCAATTTTGGCCTTGCTCACCCCCCTCCCCCTGCATGACAAGACAGTGTGTGGTCCATGGGTTGTACACTTGGTATGAAAACCTGGGGAGCTCTGCCTCACTCTTTCCTCCTCTCTCCCAATCAATTTTCCTTTTGTGTCGTGTCTCTATGAATTGTAAGCCTAAAGGCAGGGGCTGTCATTCTGAGTGAGCTGTAAGCTACTCTGGATGGTGCCTTCTGAGTGATGAGTCAGATTTTTAAAAGGTAATTAAATAAACCTTTTTAGCATCTATGATACAGACATCTAACATGATTTATTTGTATTAGTTATAGGCTTCCCTACAGCAAGAAGTTCTCTGGGTGTCTCACAGTATAAAAATCTAACAAACAAAAGAAGGCAATAAAATAAAATGCAACATTAAAAACACTGTACAAAATAATAATAAAAACCAGGTCAAACAAATTGGAGATGAACAAATAAAGATCAATAGAGCTGAAACAGTGCTAAAAGCTACAGCATGATTTGAAAGGTTTAGGAAATTGAGAAGATATTTTCCAGGCACACAAAAAAAGACATATAAAAGTAGTTGCCAGGTGATCCTCACCCATTGAACTTCATTCAGTAGCAGCATCCCAAATTGGATCCCGAATGCCTTGCGAGTCGAACATATTGACTCCCGAATGCCGCAAACCCGGAAGTGAGTTGAAATATACTCGGAGTCCAGCAGTGATTTCATGCTCTTTATTGCAGCTTGTTAAAACAGTGATTGAATTGCCCCCCAAACCTCAGGCTTTTATATACATTATTTACACAATGAATCCCATCTGATTGGCTGATTCTGCTTCCCTCCTGGAGCCTGATTGGTCTTCTCCTGCAAACCAATCAGTTGTTGCATTCTAGGATCCTATCTGCCTATTGTTCTAGGATCCAAGCTTAGTACATAACAGAGTGTTCTGGTTTGTGAACGTTCTTTGGAACCCAAACATCTGACACGACTTCCACGGCTTCTGGTTGGCTGCAGGAGCTTTCTGCAGCCAATCAGAAGCTGTGCCTTGGTTTCCGAATGTTTTGGAAGTCAAACAGACTTCTGGAACGGATTCTGTTCGACTTCCGAGGTACCACTGTATAATGCTTCCATAAAAGCCAAGTGTGATTACTCTAGAGGAGCTCTCAGCTGCACATTTGCCCCTTCCTTCCCCAACCATGAATCTCTTTTGAAGCAATATTCTTTGTGCTCTTTCCCAGACTCTCTCATTCCCGAAGAGATCGCCAAAGAGATACCCGCTAACAAATAGTTCCCGTATAAACGCTGGCAGCCGGAGCTGCTGATTTCACTGAAAACTGTGTGGACAAATGTTCAAAGAAAATGTGTGCAGATGGGAAAGGGAAGTGATTTCTAATTCTGCAAATGTTTATCGACTAATTTCCCTGCTGTTTGTCGCAGCCAAGTCTCAAGCTGTTGACAAGCGCCGTGACAATTCTGTCTTTTATTGTTCCGTTTGGTTTTTTTTTTATTTAAAAACGGGTTTCTATTAGGTTAAACTTTTGAAGGGTCCCCTGACGAGAAACTTGATGCATGGTTTCATCTAATGATTATGTAATTCAGAGGACCGTTTGTTATTTGCAACAGAAGAGAAAGTGCAAGTGTGTGTGTGTTGTTTGTGCACAATGTTCATGGCAACATGAGCACAACCCCCTCTCTTCATCACTGCCAGCTTCTCTGCAGAATGGCTTTTAATTAGAATTCATTTACTAAGTGGTGGCCCATAAAGGGTTTGTTTCTAACCTAAGAAACAATTAAACCAGACCTTTACCTCTCCGAAATATGTTACTCATTTCCCCCCTGTCAAGATACTTAAGCCAGATGGTCCACATTTATTTCACCGGCTTCACCTTTTCCCTGCACAGATGTCCTACTTGTGCAAGTTGTCACTTTGGAGTTTTCTTTTTTTTTTTGTTTCAACTGCACTTTCTGCAGAATTTATATAGAGCCAAGCTATTTCATAATAAAGGGCTAGCCTTTGTCTTCCTGCAGCAGACTAACATGACTATTCATCTGGAATTTGTATAGCATTGCGAATTACAGTAATAATACTACTAGTATTTTTTACACCATTTCTATACCACGTGCTCTCTCTTTCGCTCTCTCCGTCTCTCTCTCTCTCTCTCTCTCTCTCTCTCT